AAGCCAGGACATCCAGTTTCTTCTGATTCATAACATCCACAATCATCTCTTTCTTATCATTTGCACAACATCCACGCACATTCAGACTTCCCACTTTGACAATTTTCTTCTTCTTATTCTTTTTAGTTTAGAAGTATATACATATAAAGATACAAAACATATCCCTCCAAACTGCCAATATCCCAAACCTCTCCTTTAAAGTGCAGGCATTGTATTACCCATTTCCAGGACTCAAATCTGGCTATGTAAAAATAACCGGTTTCCCTGAATCCCTTCACTAAATATTACCCTGCTCACACTCCAACAGATCGTCAGGTCCCAAATACCATTCGTCTCCATTCAGTCCTATCTAACACGCTCTCGCATGCTTGCTGGAAGTCCAAGCCCCTTCCCCACAAAACCTCCTTTACCCCCTCCCTCCAACCTTTTTGAGGACAACCCCTGCCCCTCCTTCCTTTCCCTGCAGATTTGTACGCTCTCCATGTCATTATACTTTGGTCCATTCTCTCTAAGTGACCAAGCCACCTCAGCAACCCCTCTTCAGCCCTCTGACTAATACTTTTATTAGCTACACACCTTCTCCTAATTTCCACACTCCGAATTCTGTGCATAATACAGGTACCATCTGACTTACGACCGAGTTCGGTTCCGAGAAACCGGTCGTAAGTCGAAATGGACATAAGTTGAACTTTACTACTGAATATCAACATCACATTTTTGTAATGACTTTATTTTATTGTTTTAATTTGGTATTTCATGTTTTACTTTAGTTTTTATGCTGTTAGTACTGTATTTTATTCTGTAAGGTTTAGGATAAACACTGTGTACAACACAAACAGTTGTTTACTCCCAGAAATTTGGCATAGAAAACAAGGTCGTAAGTCGGATGGTAGGTGTATTTACACCACACATTGTCCATAGACAGGACATCTCCACTGTCTCCAACCACCTCTACACTGCAACATTTACAACCTAAGCTTCACACCTATATAAGAGTGTTGGTACCACTATACTTTTATACATTCCCTTCTTTGCCTCCATAGATAATGTTTTTTTGTCTCCACATATACCTCAATACATTATCTATGGAGGCAAAGAAGGGAATGAATGAAAGTATAGTGGTACCAACACTCTTATATGGTGATGAGGGTATCATTTGATACCCTCATTTGATGATTGGGTGGCTGGGAATTCGCAAATATTCAAAGCCCGCGAAAGTGGAAAAAACGAATGTTGAGGGAGACCTGTACACAGACTTTGCAAAGGCATTTGACGAATGCAATCATAGAGTGATGGCACACAAAATGAGGGCCATATGCATTATGGGGAAGGTAGGCAGATGGATATTTGGATTCTTAATACAAAACACAAAAAGTAGTAGTAAACAAAGTAAAATCCGGCATCAGTGAGGTAAGAAGCTGTTTCCCAAGGCACTGTCCTGACACTGCTGCTGTTTCTCATCATCATAACAGACATAGATAAAAACACCCATCACAGTTTTGTATTATCACTTACAGATGACATCAGCATAAGCATGAAAGTTACTATGGTAGAAGACAGTGAAAAATTACAGTGTTTTCCAGTGGGCCGTGGAGAACATGACATTTAGTGGTGATAATTTCCAGCTGCTTATGTATGGAAAGAATGAAGAACTTGAAAAAGAGACTATATACAAAACTGAAGAGGATCATCAAATAGCACGAAAGCAACTCATGAAAGACTTGGGAATAACTGTGTAAGCTGATCTTTCTTTCAAAGAATATAAGACAAAACTCACGACAGTCAGGAGAATAACTGGGTGGGTGTTGAGAACCTTTAAAACAAGGGAAATAATACCACTTGTGACACTTTTCAAATTGCTAGTGGTCCCCCCATTTAGAATATTGCTCAGTGTTGATGGCCCCATTCAAAACAGGAGAAATATCAGAGTTTGAACAAGTACATAGATCCTTTATGGCCTGCATAGGGCTGGTAAAGCATTTAAGTTACTGGGAACACCATAAAGTCTTGAATACAGCCTCTCCTCACTTAATGATGGTGTTCCCTTCCTAAGACCACATCGGTAAATGAATTACAAACAACCTGCACATAGAAGAGAGGAGATTATGATGACGTTTCGGTCCGACTTGGACCATTTACAAAGGCATACTATTGAAAAGGAGAGCGGGAAGGGTATATATAGGTAGTAGTAGTAGTGGCGGTGGCGGCGGCAGGAAGTAGTAGTGGAGAGGTAGTACGAGGAGGAGGAGCCAGTCAAATACTAAGAAAGAGGAGCACTACAAGGGAGCTAGGTGTCCACAGAGGGTAAGAGCAAGAACACCGAGGGGGGAGGAAATAAATAAATGAATAAATAAAGAAGGAACATATACACAGGGCAGAAGAAAGACAACCCAAAAGAGAAAAAGGAAAGAGGAAAGGGGAAGAGGGAGAAGAAGAAAAAGGAGGAATCAGGTTAAGTCATGGGTGTTATGAAGTTTGGAGCATTTTACAGTGTAGTGGGAAAGGAAGGCATCTACAGAGACAAAGCCAGGACTAAGATTCATACAAGGAAAGTTCTGTATTAGGGAGGATTCAACCAGACAGCGACTGTTAAAGTTGGAAGTAGGGAAGAGAGTTTTAGCAGAAGACCAGTCAATAGGATGGCTGTGATCTCTGACGTGACAGAAGAGAGCATTGTTAGTGTCAGCAAGCCTAACACTACTTTTGTGCTCCCTAAGTCTGTCAGAAAGAGATCGGCCAGTTTCTCCAAGGCATTGAAGAGGACAGGAGGAACAAGAAATAGAGTAGACACCCGGAGCATCTGTAGAGGGAGGAGAGGTATGAACAAGATTAGTACAAAGAGTGTTAGTCTGGTGGAAAGTAAGTTTGAAGTCTAAGGAACAGAGAGAGTTGTTGAGATTAGAAAGACCGGAAATGTAGGGAAGGCAGAGGATAGAATAGTTCCCAGGAGTAGAGAGTTTGGGAGAGAAGAAATTATGTTTAGCACGTGAGAAGGCAGAGTCTATGAAATGGGAAGGGTATTCAAGACAGGAAAATGAGTTATGAAGATTGGAAATTTCTGATTGATGGAACTGAGGATCACAAATGCAGAGAGCATAGAAAAAGAGGGAGATAAGAACACTTCTCTTGACAGAGGAAGCATGATAAGAAAAGTAGTGAATGTTCATGCCACTGTGCATAGGTTTGCAGTAAGCGGAAAAGGCAAAACCTGTATCTGAGCAGTGGACATGAACATCAAGGAAAGGAAACAAGGAATTAGATTCCCATTCAGCTTTAAATTTAATGGAAGGGGCAAGATTATTTAGAGCATCAAGAAATGGTTGGAAGACACAAGAGTCATGAAGCCAAAGAGCAAAGATGTCATCTACATAGCGGAGTGAGAGTGAATGGCGTACATCGAAAGTAGGAAGAAGAACAGTCTCGAAGTATTCCATGTAAAGATTAGCAAGGACAGGAGAGAGAGGAGAGCCCATAGCGACACCAAAGGTTTCAGAATAATATTTCCCTTGGAAAGAAAAGGAATTAGAGTCCACACAGAGGCAGATAAGATCAAGAAAGACATCAGTAGGTATAGGGAGATGAAAAAGCCCTTCATTGGCCTTCTCTCTAAGAAAATCAAGGACATCATCAAGAGGGACATTGGTGAAGAGGGACTCAACGTCAAGACTAAGCATCTTACAGGTTGGGAGAGAGTGAACTCGTTCAATGAAGTCTTGAGAGTGACAGAGGTGGGCATGAGAAAAAGTACCAAGAAAGGGAGTGAGGGTTTTGGCCAGGCAAGAAGCAAGAGAATAAGAGACAGAACCTCTAGAGGATATGATAGGAAAAACCGGATATGAATTCGTCGCAAAGTGAGGAGCGTCCTCTAATGGTAGTGGGTTTGTGTCATCCATCTTTAATATTGTTTTAATGTCACCTTTGCACCATTTATAACATTTCTGGTATATTTTCAAATGTTTATACAGTAGTGTACTGTATATTGTAATAAAAAGAATAGAGAAAGTCAGCTCTAATATACATTATTTAGGTATGCATACTGGTCAGAGAGCCTATTGTAAGTCCAAGTCATCGGTAAATGAGTATGTCACTAAGTGATGAGAGGCTGTATTCAAAGGAGCAGAGAGGAGAGATACATGATAATATATACCTGGAAGGCACTTGAGAACCTGGTCCCAAATCTGTACACTGCTATAATATACTGAAGTGAGAGATATGGAAGGAAGTGCAGTATAAACCCAGTGAAGAGCAGGGGTGTAGCAGGCACAATAAGGGAACACTGTATCAATATCCTTGGCCCCAGATTATTCAACATCTTACCAGAAGATATCAGAAACACTCCTGGATCAAGTGTAGACATCTTCAAGAGAAAACTGGACTAATTTCTTTATCAGGTGCCAGATCAACCAGGCTGTGATGGATATGTTGAGCAGTGGACCACTGGTAGCAACAGCCTGATTGACCAGGCTAGGACCAGATGAGCCTGGTCCATTGCTGGGCTCCAGGAGTAGAAAAACTCAGAAGACTCAACAAAGTTATATATCAAAGATTTAACTGCATCATCCCCACTCCTTCCAGATTGCAGGCACGTTGTACTTCCCACCTCCAGGACTCAAGTCTGACTAACCAGTTTTCCTTAATTCCTTTATAAATGTTACTTTGCTCGCTCTCCAATAACACATCCATTCAGTATATGGTCATTAAATTGATGTTTATGAAGTTAACTTATTATTTCCACTTCATTTAGAAAAAATAAAATGATACAGGTTTTTATTTTATTCATATAAAGTATGTTAGGATGAAGACTAACATTAGTGATTCTGCAAGTGGATGATTGCCATAATGAGGAATGAATGGAGTTGGTTAGGAATTAAGATATGAGAAGTGGTACAAAAAAAATATTTTTCCCAATTCAGTTATGGGATAAAATTTATAAGTAATCTCTTGACTGTTTTTGCAAAACAAAATTTGTCTGCCAAGTATATTATAATTATTTTTTGCAGGAACTTCAAGCTATAGAAAAATATGAACTGGACATGATTGCTCTGGGTAACCAGTATATAATGAAATCACATAAGGGAGAAATTGAAATAGACAAGGATGAATTTATCAAAGATAAGGAGAAAGGTAAGTTAAATTGAATATCCACTGTCCTGGTTACAAGTTATTCATCTTAGTGGTGCACAACTAATCAGTATTATTCAGTTTCTAAGGGTGAATTGGTTGCTTTTCTCATAGATTATATGTTATTAATGTATATTTGAAAATTTTTGACAAACTTTTCCATAATTCAGCAATGTCTTGTTAATGTTAGGTCTTTCTACCATTGGGTTGACTGGGCCTTCTCTTGAAAAAACTTGCTCTGTTTTTTTATTTTGTATTGGATATAGTCTCCAGCAAGTGCTTGGTTTCCATAATATATGATATTTAACCCTTAAACTGTCCAAACATAGATATATGTTTGCTCACGTAGTGATCTGAATGTAGATCAACGTTTTATTTTTCATTCCTTCAAAATTGGGGTGATAGGCCTAAGTCGCCTAGACACAAGAGAATGGGTCTTACCACTCGGTGTGCTCAGAATTAAAAAAATCTGGGAATACTTAGTACCTTATGGGAACACCAGTTCAATTGAGCTCCAGCTAGAGCAAATAGCATGGCGAACACCAAGGATTCACTGATGTCATGTCGTATTAACACTCCCCTTTTAAGAGGAAAGTAAAAATAGGTTAGATAAATACATGAGTGGGTGAGTGTGAGTTGAACCTGACTAGCTGGGTCTGATGCCATGCTCCTTCCTTCAGTGAATGTGACCTGACTAGGTGGGTCATTGGTCTAAGATGGGGGGTGACATGGACCTGCCTTGCATGGGCCAGTAGGCCTGCTGCAGTGTTCCTTCTTTCTAATGTTCTTATGTATTTGGCTGGATGACTGGCTTTGGCTGGATGGCTGGCTTTGGCTGGCTGGCTGCTTGGCTTTGGCTAGCTGGTTGGCTGGCTTTGGCTAGCTGGTTGGCTGGCTTTGGCTAGCTGGTTGGCTGGCTTTGGTTGGCTGGCTGACTGTCTTTGGCTCACTGGTTGGCTTTGGCTGCCTGACTGGCTGGCTGCCTGCCTGGCTTTGGCTGGCTGGCTTTGGCTGGCTGGCTGGCTTTGGCAGGCTGGCTGGATTTGGCTGGCTGGCTTTGGCTGGCTGGCTGGCTTTGGCAGGCTGGCTGGATTTGGCTGGCTGGCTGGCTTTGGCTGACTTTGGCTGGCTTTGGCTGGCTGGCTGGCTGGCTCTCTCTCTCTCTTTGACTTGCTGGCTTTGCCCGACTGGCTGGCTGGCTTTGATTGGCTGGATTTGGCTGGCTGGCTGGCTTTTTCTGGTTGGCTGGCTGCTCTTGGCTGGCTGGCTTTGGCTGGCTGGCTTCGGCTGGCTGGCTTTGGCTGGCTGGCTGGCTTTGGCTGGTTGGTTGGCTGCTCTTGGCTGGCTGGATGGCTTTGGCTGGCTGGCTGGCTTTGGCTGGCTGGCTTTGGCTGGCTGGCTTTTTCTGGCTGGCTGGCTTTGGCTGACTGGCTGGCTTTGGCTGACTGGCTGGCTGGCTGGCTTTGGCTGGCTGGTTGGCTTTGGCTAGCTTTGGCTGGCTGGCTGACTTTGCCTGGCTAGCTGGCTTTGACTGGCTGGCTGGCTGGTTTTGACTGGCTGGCTGGCTTTGGCTGGCTGGCTGGCTTTGACTGGCTGGCTGGCTTTGGCTGGTTGGCTGGCTGGCTTTGGCTGGCTGGCTGGCTTTTTCTGGCTGGCTGGCTTTGGCTGACTGGCTGGCTTTGGCTGGTTGGCTGGCTGGCTTTGGCTGGCTGGCTGGCTTTTTCTGGCTGGCTGGCTTTAGCTGGCTTTGACTGGCTTTGGCTGGCTGGCTGGCTCTCTCTCTGACTGGCTGGCTTTGCCTAGCTGGCTGGCTTTGACTGGCTGGCTGGCTTATTTTGGTTGGCTGGCTGGTTGGCTTTGGCTGGCTGGCTTTCTTTGGCTGGTTGGTTGGCTGCTCTTGGCTGGCTGACTGGCTGACTTTTGCTGGATGGCTTTGGCTGGCTGGCTGGCTTTGTCGGGCTGGCTTGCTGGCTTTGGCTGACTGGCTGGCTTTGGCTGGCTTTGGCTGGCTGGTTGGCTTTTGTTACTTTTTGAGTCTTTCTTTTCAGAGAGGAGACCCGTTAGTAGCAACAGGTGAAGATCCACTTAGGTCTTCTTACTCTTTTTAAATACACACATATGAATATAAGACAAAAAAGTTCTATAATGCTTTATCTGGTTTTATTCAGTATAATACTAAGCTTATAGAGTCACTTAGTAATTTAAATAATTGATAAAATTTAGGTATACCTTTTCTTATAAATTCATATGTACACAATCACTGTAGTTTCATAATCAAAGTCAAGATCAATGAAACAGTAGATAGGGTGCCTTTACCACCTCCTCAATCAATTATATACACTACAGCTAGAACTGGTTAGAGACTATCACGAGACTAATAGTTGGAGAACACAGACGTGGTGTATTGCTTCACTTAAATGGCTGACTGCACAGACGCAACCCGTCAAGTATTCCGAGACTGAAGTAATCCAAGCAACCTTGGTTGAACCTAGGAATCCTGGTTCAAAGGTTCTCCTGAGACTTGCAACAAGAGAATAAGGGAGCTCCGTGTCTTGGTGCTTTCTCTACCAGAGATGAGAATGAACTGCTATGAGTAAAACTCCCTAGCTTGACGTCACCTCGGAATGAGTGAGTTTGTGAAGCATAAACGACCACAAGGCAATTCAACACATAAACACAAAACATCCTACGAAATAAATCAATAATTCATGGCCAGATAATATTATAAAACTAGGAGTCTTTATTTTAGCTACGAATAAAGGTACCAGTAATATAATACTAAGTGAAAAAGCCGTAATTACACACTAATCAATTGACCCTTCTTCAATTATGCACAAAGGGCGTAACACTCCTCCCGTACGACTGACTGTCGCACCAATAGAGACTTCAACTCATACAAGGCACACAATGCCCCCATTCTTTACTATATATCCAGGCAACTGCAAAGACAACGTCCTTCAGAGTAAAAAAGATTTTTCAGGGTCACCATGAAGCAGGAGTCAGGAAACTGAATTTTAATCTTTGCTCCATCTCAGAGGTAAACACACAGTAGTTGACCTCTGGCGACGTCAGAAGCTAAGGGCGTCATGGGAACACAACAGGAGACATGGCCAAAGCAGTGTATATTCTCAGCTTCTGCCAGACTGACATCCTGGATCTCAACTCCATAAGGACTCCTATTTTTTGTTACAGCAATCTTCTTACTGTTGATGGCAAAAAGTCAAAATATTAAACACAAAACCAATATTAATTATATTTGAAAAAAAAAAAAAAAAGGGAATATCTGACTTATCCTTAAGGGCGGGACAGAGCGTCAGCAATTACGTTATCCTGGCCACGTATGTGGTTAATACTTATTGAAAAGGGTTGAATTCGAAGAGCCCATCTCTGAATCGGGCATTCTTCAACTTCATAGTATTAAAGGTCAAAGGGTTATGGTCTGAATTGACTGATTTTGTGGGGAGCAGTGCCCAGGTAAACTTCAAAGTGCTCTAAAGATAACACTAAAGCTAACGCTTCTTTCTCTACAGTTGCATAATTTAACTTGTGGGACTTTAATTTAGCAGAAAAATAGCAAATAAGATGAAGAATATTAGAGGAGGAGGAGGGTTGTAGCAAGACTGCTCCCACAGCATAGCTACTGGCATCTACATGCAAAGAAAAAGGGACATCAAAATTTGGACTTCGTAATACTGGTGATGATTCAAGTAATCGTTTCAATTTGCTAAAAGCCGTGTCACATTCTGAGGTCCAGCAGAATTTAACTTTAGAACTGGTTAATTCAAACAGGGGAGCTGCCACCTGAGAGAAGTTGGGGCAGAACCGGCGGTAGTAGCCGGCCATCCCTAGAAATCTTTGTACTCCTTTTCTGTCCCAAGGTATAGGGAATTCTGAAATGGCTTTGATCTTAGCATTAAGAGGTGCTACTGTTCCTTGGCCGATACTGAAACCTAAATATTTTATTCGGGCTTGCCCAAACTCACACTTGGCTAAATTAACCATAAAATTGTATTCTTCTAATTTTTTCAGAAGTGCTTCTAGCTGAGACACATGCTGTCCCCACTCTTCACTTATCACCACTAAATCGTCCAAATAAGCTTCCACACCTTCCAGCTCATAAGTTAGACTATTCATCAGCCTCTGAAAGGTAGACGCCGCATTACAGAGGCCGAAGGGCATAACTAAATAGTTAAATAGACCACCAGGAACAGTAAAAGACGATATCTCTTGGGCTCGTGTTGACAGGGTACTTGGTAATAACCTCGTAACAGGTCTAGTCTACTCACATATTTAGCCCCGGAGACTTTATCTATTAAATCGTCTACCCTAGGTAGAGGATACACATCTGGTAAGGTCACGGAGTTTACCTTCCGGTAATCTGTACACATACGGTAAGATCCATCTGCTTTAGCCACGAGGACACAGGGCGAAGCCCACGGACTTTTGCTGCATTCGATCAAACCGTGAGTTAACAGAAAATCTATTTCCTCTCTAAGTGCCTTATTTTTCACTGGGCTCGTTTGATATGGGGCTTGCTTGATTGGCAGAGCACCTTGTACATCCACATCATGTGTCCCCAGAGTGCAACGTTTGGGGACGTCTCCGAATAAACTCGGGTAAGCCATTAGCAACTCTTTAATCTTTCTAGCTTGGTCATCTCCTAAGTTACATAAAAACTGGTCCATAGCGCTCAACACTTCTGAATTTTTTAGACACACTTCTACCCCTCTAGAACAATCTGTAAGGCATGTATCCTCTTCTTGCGGTAGAATGGAAGTACTGTAGTGGGCGATGTTCCCCCATAATACCTTTTCAACTGATTTACATGGTAGGCATGGTTGGACTTCTTTTTACCTGGAGTACGAACTAAGTAATTTACCTCACTCAGTTTCCTCACTATCTCCATGGGTCCTTCATACCTGGGCTGTAGCGTATGTCCAGGAACCAATTTTAGAGCTAAAACTTTATCCCCTACTTGAAATGAGCGTAGAGCAGCCTTCTTA